CATATATATATATATATATATATATATATATGACATCCAGAACATCTACAATGTTGAGGTATGACATGAGTAAGAAACAACTCATAATATTGTCCAGTCACTTGTGCACATCAGAAGACTCTGGGATGTTTGATCTCGTAAAAATAATGGCCTCGAGACAAAGCCAGCGGTGAAACTACTCCACACAACGACCTTTGGAGAACGCAGAGGTTGCTCTACTGTGACATGTAAATTTTTGTTGAACCAAGTGGCCCATAAAGGCCTTCAACTATTCATAGATACACCTGCAATATGTAAGTATCATGTTTCTTCTATACTATACATTTAATATCTGAGTAAATATTTTGCTTTATTTTTTATAGTTCACTTTAGAACTTACTAAATCATATACTATTTTAACTTTAGGTTTTACTCTCTCCAGGAACTAGAGTAAGATCTGTTTGAAAGCATCATAACTGTTTCCACCATTCACATTCTGTGTATAGCTGACCAATCACAAAATTAGATACCTAGTATCTGCTATATATATCTGCTTTATGTCACAGTCATAAAGTAACCTTACACTGAACAACAGATAACGTATTTTGCCATCGACTCATGCCAACTCTGAAGGAAGCCAGGAAGTATTGTGAAGTCTTGTTCATTATTGTTGATTTTCCAGTTGCCTTATGACCATGTAAGTTGTATATCCAAGTCTAACCACATCAGCAATTTCCTCCATTGAATAACCAGCTGCTGCTTTAATCATCTGTATTTTTTTAATAAATAACAACACTAGCCTTTCTACATACTAGATTCAAGAAGCCTTCAATTTTCCGAAGGTGAGGTAACTCTGTGCTTTATACATTCCAAACCTTGGAATACCATGGCTTACTTTGTTCAATACAAGGTTTGAAACCATACTTAGAACCTGGCTATTGTGAAAGTATAGTTGATTTGTGTCTTTTATCCCTCCAAACTATTTTTTTCTATCTCATGTTTTTGTGAAAGAGACATCTGAGACATATATCTCCATTTTGGCAAAACCTATATCAAAGAATAGGAACATTATATCTATCTGAGAGTGATATACTTAAAGTGTTCATTAGGTGCCCTGCTGAATTCATGTGTAAAACATGAGTGGATATTGGATTGACAACAGGATGCTTCCAAATTTTATAAAGTTCTAGATCCCATCCAATAAGATTGTGGGAAAAGGTAAACTGACCTCTAAAGCATGTGGACTGTTTGTTAGATGTGATGAAAGGAGATTTTGTTATAATATATCAACCACAATCCATCTACTTTATCCAGTGCTGAAGAGGCCTTTTGCCCTATATACCAGGACTTATCAGGCCAGCTGTGATGATAGGACAGAAGTAGAGCCAGTTAGAGGGTGGGCCAGGAGGGCCATTTGGCCCAGGCCTCAAATTTAGACACTTATGTTTTTACATTTGTTAAGTTTTGCAACTTGTTTTTATGTGCCTCCTAATCATACCAAAATGTGAAACACACACTCAGCTTAAGGATGCAAATTAAATATTCAAATTATGTTTCACTTTTTATTTTTTTCATGTGTCATCGTTTTTTATTATAGCCAGGGGCCCTCTCTGAATTTCTTAGAGTGCCTGGACAGAAGATAACAGTGGTGCTTTCTGTTAAAGAAGAATTAAAAGTATTTGATACTGATTTCAAGTCTGTTATCATGTAAATGATTATATTTATACTACCTAACAACAAGATAATACCTTCAAATATTTTTATGACATGAAAACATCAAGTACAAATATCTAAGAAATGCAATTACTTGCACAGAGATACACCCCTTCCAATATTTTTAGTTGTAGCACACAAACTGTTTGTGCAAGAGTACCTATGGTAAGTACAGCATTAAACTTCACTTTCATTTAGCTTTGGCTTCAGTTATTTTGCTGTCAACTTCCTTCCTCTCTCAGTTGAGCCCTCATTTGTTGAATTAATGCTGTAAAAAATGAAACAATTATCAAACTCGAACAGCTCTTCCAATTTCTTATCAATTAAACTCAATTTTTGGGAGTCCAACTGAGTTTCTTCCACTAAATTTCACTGAAACTGGTTCAACCAACTCTTCACAACTTGTGACATCAAGCCACCAGACAAACAGATGGACAACTCAGCTTTATATAGATTGAGATTAAAGTATAAAATAACTCTAATCATCAATATCCATATAACTGATATACATTTATTTTAACCCATAAATTACCAATGATATAGGAACCCCCTGGCTTTTTAAACACATTCTTCTGAGCTACTTATGCACCAAACTGCTTATGGATCCATGTCTTTGTTGATTGTAGTGTCTCTAATAACATATGAGTCACGCACAAAAATAATGTTAAGATTGCATTAATGGCACCGATTACTGCTGAGGTTCTTTACACTGAGTGCAGAAATGGGCAAAAACATAAAACTACCCAGAATGATGAAACATGTGGTCCCTATCATGAACAGTATAAAAACAAGTGAATAGTTTGAGGATTAAGTATACATTAAATCAAAAATCACTGTATTACATTTAAATAATGAGGTAAAGTTAGATTTAGACAATTCCAGACCTGATTTTAGTAGTGCATGACAATTATTTACTCTATGTTGAGGTATTCTATCTTTACACTTACCATTAAACTTATGTATAAATCAGGTATAGATAACCAGTTTCAAAATATATACAGAATAAGAGCTATACCATTATTCAGTCAGTAACTTGTACTCCAGAAAAACGTTAGGCTTAGTCTGCTAAGAGAAACAAACTTTATTTACATTTACAACACAAATTATTCTACACCAAACACAAGAGATCCTTAGTTTCTTTCCACAAAGAGCTGAGGAAGCTTAGAATTTCTTCATGTAGCTGTACAAAATGTCAAATGATCATCAAAACTATACAATGCATTAAACAAGTAATATAAAATAGCAAATGCTCATTTCTTGTGTACTATATAAAGCAGAATGACAAAATAAAACCATTAAGGTATCATCCTGGAAGTCAATGGGAGACTAGACAGATCATGCACTGTGGCTAAACCTTAAAAATGAAATGAAACTGTCCAAGTATTTCTTACTTTCAACAAGGAAGCTCAAGCTAACAATACTGTCTTCTTACAATAATGTGTACTTTCACATGCCTGCAATTCAACCAATTATCTAGTTTGCTTGTTTCCGATACTCGATTAAAACTACACAAGGATTACTTGTGATAGCTTCCCTAGACTAGAGGGAAGGTAGTTAGTCAACAGCACCCTCCACTACTCTTGAAGTACTCTAATTGTATAGTGGGGTTTGGCCACTACTCTTATAATATAACTATGGCCCCAAAGTGCAGAACCCAATTTCATTTCTTTGTGGTAACAGAACCTGAACTCTCCTTAGATCCACAGTCTGGCATGTTAACCATTATGCCACTACATGCCCTCGACCAGTTAAAACCTAAACACAACATAAAATACACTCATTGGCACAATAATTCTTTCATTTCCTGTAACTTGAATTCAAATGAAATTACATAAAATTCAAAGTTGTCTTTTCATAGGCACATATATATTTTTAGTTTAATGTTTTACGTACTACATATTTTATTACTGATAGTATGGAATAGGAAAAGTCATATATTCACAGACAATACACTGATTAGTCTAACTTAAGCATACAATATACAAACAATATTGTACTGAAATACTGAGTATGGGTCACATTTGTAAGCTTTACCACAATATAAAAATGAACTCATCAAGTTTCAATATTTTTGTACTTGAAATGTGATGTCAGTTTTCTTTTCAGATGTGTATTTCACAATTAGGATTAATACATGTAAAAAGACAAATTACTTTCATTTATTTTACTTATTAAATATTCACTTCAAATCAAGTTTACACACCTTCTGTTCTACCCAAGTTGTATATGCATTTACTGAATTTTTAGCATTTGCCTACAATGTAAAACAAATTAACCAAATTGAATTTCCGTTTACTACGTATTACAAATATTAAAATATTTATTTGAGCAATATCATCTGGAGATATAAAAATCATAATTATGCTATGATAATAGTTAGTTATAATTTCTGTTACAATATTAAAAAATGATACATAAAATGTCCACATTAAATATGTTTCCTAAGCAAAGGAAATAAATTTTATTCTTATATGAACAATGGATATTTCATGCTTTCTATAAATCATCTTTACCACCAATTTTAAATTAAATTCAAAATGAAAAACAAAGCCCTAAATCAATCTTGCAGGAATATAAAATTTACTGTTTTGATGTTGGCAGATGCAATTAATGTTCTCCATTTTATATGAACACAATGTTACATTAATTATGACATAAACATTAAGATAACCATAATGATACATAGTACTTCTAGGTGTTCCTCCTTTAGTCAAGTAGCTCAGTGACAGTTAGAAAGCTGAAGATTTAAACAAGAAAGTCTAATTTCTAGGATAACACCACTTGACACCAGTCAGCTGCTAAAATGCTACCAAGATCACTTTTGGAAGGGCTATCTCTCCATTACATGTACTATAAAGATGTCTCACTTCCAGAAGGAGGTAATGTATGTTGTCCACTGTCTGTTCCTTCTAACATAGCAATCCTCTGTTTCAGCAATCTCGTCTGGAAGATCAACATGATAAAATTTCATCTATTAGCAGGAAATAGGCTTAGTTCTAAAATTACAAAGAGTTTAAGTATGCATGTAAACCAGATACTGTTCATTATTCATTACAATGCAAACCTAAAGGACCAGTTATGTATGCTTGATGTTGTTTTTTTTTTATCCATGAAGGAGTGATATGAAATGAATATTTCAAATGAATGATAAAAGAAGCCCCCTCCCTTTTTTTTTGGAGGAGGGAGAGGTACTTATTTCTATAAATAATTGTTTTTAAAGTGATGATACAGTAAACGTAAACAAACCACCAATTTGTTACCTATAACTGATACATGTGTACAGCTCAGTATCCTTTTCACTGCATACTCAGGTGAAATAAATAGATTAATTTATCATTTTTAAGTATTTAGGAATGTCTGAATGAAACATTTGTAATCAGTGACTGAAAAACCTGAACTTGTACTAGAATAACATACTGCTGCAATACGCAGAAGAACGATTAACCCAAAACTAACAAAGATTTCATTGGATGAATACACATTTTTACATGATAATAAAAAAAGTGGAAACTAACACACTGGAAGTTTCCTTTTTAATCAATTTGTATATTATTTTATTAGTAGTTACCTATGGAAAATTAGCTCAAAATAGTGTCTAACGATTTTTTTCACTGAATTAAGAAGTTAAAACACTGGTCACAAGTTTAATAATGTTTGATGTTCCCCCCCCTGTCTGAATATTAAGTACACTTCTTTAATGGTGACTTTTCAATGTTTAGAAAACAAAAGCACTTAAAGGAAAAAAATGTTGCATGTGGAATTAAGATATATTCAAACAAATAATAATGCATTAACTTTCATTTTACATGTCTGTTTCTTCTTGAAAACTGATGACCAAATATTGCTTTAATTTAAAAATTTCTGATATGCAAGTCAAAAAAGCTATTACCCCAAAATCTAACAGTTTTAAATCATACAGAGAACTAGGTCAACAGTACCCTTCTCACATATGTATATATATGCATACAAAATCTTGGGTCTCCACTGTTTGCAAAATAGAAAATACTGTTTCATTACCTGAGCATTGTATCTTTCTGACATCACTGCCATCTGCTGTTCTAACTTCTTGACTCTTGCTTGGGTTTTCTTTTTAGTTTTTTCAAAAGCCATCACCAAGGCACTATCAAGTATAAAATAATAATAAAACCTTTTTTAGTATTACCTTTTCTTTCAAAAGTTTCAATAAAACATCTATTTTATGAGTATTTATGTCGAATGAGTATCTATATTTCTACACATTTTTATAACAACCTCAAAAAAAAGAAAAAAGAAGCAATTCTATCTTAAAAATGAAGAAAATAATTCTACAAGATGATTTTTTTTAAGTTTAAAGAAATATCTGAATAAGTAGTGAATTTAAAGAAATATTATCACACCATTGTGACTTAGTAATGGCTCAATAAAGTCCTAAGTTAAATCAAATGTAATGAGTTAAGCAAATTTTTCAATTCAGGCTTAGTAATCTTAGTATGCATGATAATTACTTTCACTGTTTAGGCTGGAATAAATTAGCTGAACAATCTAATGTCAAACAGGTACTCACCTGTTTGCTCTTTTCAGATCGTTAACAAACTCAGCTGACTGCTGAGCACGAAGTTCAGAATTTTTAGTTACTTTCTCTAAAGTATTCACAAGCTCTTGGATTCTGGTTTTTAATTTCTTTTCCCTCTGTAGTGCTTCACTTAAATCTTGAGAAACTTCTTTGTCTGATACTCCTCCTCCAAGTTTCTGAAAGATAAGTAACAGATTCTGACTCTCAGGTAAGTGTTTTCCAACAACGAAGACAAATGTAAGATCAGATTCTAAATAACATGTAAGTAACACATATTTTCGAGTTCTGACAGGTCCACCAGCCCAATGACGTTATGAGCTGACTGAGTCAGTTATTTGAGCTCTAAACCTTATAAAGATCTAATCCAGCAACATTTATACCTGCCAACTTTAAAAATTAGAAATAGTAAAATGTATTTCACAAAAAATCTGAAATATGAAGCAGTTTTGTGAATGTGGAGTCAAAACATATACAATATCAGTAACAACATTTTTTTTTGTTGCTGTTGTTCCTTTACTAAATATTCTCACAATCTTGTACACTAAACCTTTACACGGGTAGGTCTCATAAGTTACACAGTATTATAAAACATATGCACAAGGTAAATTCAACTCCATCGAAGTTTCTTAAATACCTGGAAGTAAATATAACAGAATGCAGCATATGCTCATTTACACAGTTCCTGTTTTACAGTGTGAATTCCTGCTATGTCAGATCACTTACAGGCCACCTAAGAATTCTCCAATACCTTCTATATGTCTTTCTCATATATAAAATATATTTTGTTATTTGTAAAACTTCTTCTAATGCTTTGTTCATACTTAGGATCTTGGAAACTTTCTTGATTTTTAACAGTGTTTGATCTCTACAGCTTGTGGATATCTCGTACTGGTACACCATTCTAGTTAGTTTCTAGGTATAGAGTAAATAGAAAATGTAAGCCATAACTCTGTCATCGCCTGCCTTTTTTTTTTTGTCATGGCTGAATCAATGGATAGAAATGATCAATATAACAGTACCAGGGCTCTGAATAATCACAGATTTTACAGGCATATCATAAAAGGTGGCAGCTATGAATGCTATTAACTGCCATCTGATTTACTTCACATATGATCGTAGTTACATCTAACACAAACCTTTGATTACATGAATTACAAGCAAGAGTACTCATCTCCAGTGACAGGAAAAGATTTAAGTTAATCTATCAATTTAAATTATTTCATGGACTTTAAAAAGGTTAATTCTGTTACACTCTTGGTTTCACTCAGAGCCAAAGCTCTGAGCTACTTATACTGCCCACCATAAAAAGTATTGTTGAGTATTTCAGTCATGCTAAGAGCCACTCAACAATAACATACAGTAAATCAACATTTTTAATCTTTAAAACTGTTAGTAACAGAATCTTGGTGATAAATTGAGCAATTCGGACAGCACAAAATCACATGTTGGTTATTGTATCTCACCAAGAATCAAGAGTTAAATCTTATGTATTGCGAACCGTGGTATCTGTCCGAACTTTCATTTGTCTCTCGTTTGAAAAGCTGTGATGCAGGCAAAGCTCAACATTCACTTTTGAAATGATAGGAGAACAGACATGAATAATGTTGATGACAAATTTTATTTCGCAATTAATCACACCATCATTCACACTTCAAAATGTGACGTAAATTCAGTTGAAATGTTTATTTTTTTTTATCTTAGGTAATATCAAGACCTAATTTACTAACCTGAGCTCCTCTCAGTTTCTCAACAACAAGTTCCTGTTCCTTCAGTTCAGTTTTCAAATGTTCAATATGAACAAGGTAAGCCTGCTCCTGAGCTTCTTGACTTGACAATCTCAACTCAAGTGCTCCTTTCTCTTTCTCCAGTAGGTAAACTTGGGCCTTTAGTTCTGCTTTCTCTTCCTGTTAGAGAGTACACATAAGATTAAAACTACTACAATAAAATAATGAAATACTGAGTTCTTAAATTATTCTCAGCATCAGTATAACTCCCTATAACTCAACTAAGCAATACATAATGCTTTCCTCGTAATCTGAGTGTCAGTCGCTCATCTTGCCAAGCTCATCATTTTGTCATCTGTTCTAAGCAGCAACTAATAAATTTCCCTATCATAAAATTCATGCCCAGTCTTTCTCATATTAACACCAGACAAACTAATGCATAAAAACCTTGAGAAGACTAACAAGCATTCTATATTTCACTCCATCCCACTAACATGAGATAAAATTTACTTATATACTTCACCTTAGAAGACTACTTTTTAAATGTCTTTATTCTTCTAATGTGCATTTTAAAGTAGGTTTTAGCTGAAATAACATTGTCACTAGGCTAGACATATTCAATATATGGCAATGAACAGAGCAAGACTTAGTATTCTAAATTGCATTATTAGAAGAAATATTCATAAAAAATACAAAATTGGTCACACATTTAAAGTGTTTACAAGTACGTCTCATGGTATACCAAGAAAAGAGAGAGAGAGAGAGAGAAACAATGGATTTTTTCCCCATAATTAATATCAGCTTGAATACTTGTTGATACTCTTGAGGTTTTTGTGTTTTGGGCCTTCATGCCTAATGTCAACATAGATGACCAATATATATGCTGTATTATTACCTAACTCATTCTGATACTCAGTAGAATGTACAACTTCTCATACATTCAACTAAAACTTTACTTAGTTCACCATAATTCATACTGAGTAACATAGGCTAGCTCCTTTGTATTTTGAGCATCACTCTAAAACATTATCTTACTCACCTTGAAATCTACAGCTAAGTAGAATGTGTTGCTGTTTATGTATTCTGAACTCAAGTATTTTGAACTTTACCTACTCCAATATGATCTGTACATCTTTCTTCCTTCTGTGTATATTGTACCTTTAGCTGTACTATATAATAACAGCATTTTAAGCTGCTCAGCATGATATTTTATGACAAACTTTACCTTAATTGCCATCAGCTCTTGCATCAAAACAGCATTTTCTAAATCTAACTTTTGTGAATCAATCAACGTGGAGGGCTCCCGACAACCAGTATCAATATGAACACTTTCTAGTTCAACAACTGTTGTTTTAACTGCTGATCGCTCAGTTTTCAACTGATGAATATAATCTCGCAGTCGTTGTTCATCAACTTTTGTAAACTCTCCATCATTACTGCTGGACGTTGAGCTGGTGGTGCTGATAATAAAAAAATGGATTTGAAAATATAAAAAGAAGACATTTAGAATAAATTAAAATATAAACAATAACATCTAGTTGCTCTTTATAATTGAATGTTGGTCAGATAAATAAAAAGGCAATTTATCCTTTTCAGAAGAGATTTTAGAACTCTACATAGAACCACAATTTTATGATATTATGATATTTTCTCTAAACAGAAATAACGCCCATGAAAATGTTTGTTTTTGGCTACTTATAGCTTTGTGTTTACTTCCACTTAGATTATTTAAATTAAAGATACTCTATCAAGTATCAAGTAAATCCACGACTTCCAATATTACTAAGAAGTCAGATTAAAAAGTTAGAACATGATAAAGAGTAGGTTTCTAACCTGATAATTTTATAATTACAGTAACTTTCTTTATTTGGGTTTCATTTAGCTGGTAAATTGACAATTACAATACATTTCTTTACTTGGAATTTTAACCAGATAGTGTGACAGTTAAAATAACTTGCTTCATTTGTTTTTCAACCTGATAGTTTGACAGTTGCTTTCTTTATTTGGGTTTTTTGCTGGTAGTGTAACAATTACTATAACTTTCTTTATTTGGTTTTTTTTACATTGTATTATAACTTTTATGAAACAATTCTTCCTGTGTGTTTTTAAAACCTAGTAGTGTTACTATTAAAAGAAATTACTACCTTCGTACTTCTGACCTAGTAGTATGATTAAGAGAAAAAACTTCATTATGTGGGTTTCTCACCTTACAGTGTAACTAACAAAAGTAAATGTCTTCCTAAGGATTTCTGACTTTGTAGTATGATTAATAGAGGAATGTCACCCTGAGGGTTTCTTAACTGGTGGTATGAATGTTTAAAACCCTTCCTCCTGTGGGTCTTTACTGGTGTCAACTTCGTTCTTTTCATGGAACAGCACATGCGTGTGCTGCATTTGCTTTCTCCCTGCTCTGTCATCGCTTCAGTGGGCCAGTTGAGAATCTCCAACACAACCCCCTATCTCTTACAACCTCTGCTAAAACATTCCATGAAAGCAACAAATATTCATTTATCATGACAAGATAAAAGTCTCCTCCTCACTCCTCATCTCCATGTCTCCTCACAGCTCTCCCTACTGCTTGTGGCACCAACGTCAGGAAATTTTTTAAATCTTCCTTTTATATACCTAATACCCAATATTACAAAATTTCATTTCACGAAGCAGGGTGAAGAGAAACAAAAGTTTCTGACCACCTCAGGTTATATTTCATTCCCTTCTGGGAATTAAATATACTTTAACCTAAATTCCTATCATGCTATATCGTATCATCTTTACTGGTTGTATGATTATGAGAAGAAAGTTTCTAGAGTGGATATCTTACCTTGTATTGTGACTATGTGAGGAAACTTCTTCCCATGGATTAATGTTACATCCAGTTGCAGAGCAGCCAATACCATAATTTCTATCCAGTTTCTGAATAAAATGCCGAGCTACAGTTTCAGCTGACCTCCGGTTATCATTGGCCTTCTTCAGAAGTGCAGTTATTTCAATTTCATCATTTGCACTTGAACCTTTTACTAATGAAAAGTTTTCAAAATTAGTTGCAATTTTTACAAATATAATAAAAAATACACCACCAGTCAAACAAACAGCTTGCTATATCATACATAAATATACCTACATGTGTGTAATTAAATTGTTGACAGTTCCTCAATCTTTATCAAATGAAACTCTTTAAATATCATTAAGATAAACTGATAAACATAAAACAATATAATGTAAGGGTTAGTTATTAAAGATTAGTTTAAGATAGTTTCAGTTTGATGAATATAGTGAAAACTGTGTTGAAAATATAATTTTATATAATAAGAAAGAGAACAGTACACACAAATCTTGCCTATCGATCTACAGCGCTTATGTATAACTGAAAACAATAATTTATATATAGTAATAATTGATTGTCACATTCAACTTTAAATTGTTCAAAAACTGCACAACTAGTCACCCACAATCTATAATACATTTTATTAAAAACCTTCTTGAAGTAAAATTCATTCAAAATTACTTTCAAAAATAAAAAATTTGGAACTATTAATTTCATGTGCAACAGTGGAAAAAACACCAAAAAACCACTCTATGCACTATGTACAAAGTGTCCTTAGTAGTAAATAGTGAATTTTAACAACTAAGTTCTTTTTATATTTCCTTGGCATAATTTATACATAATTTCCATTTCATATCTATTAACGTTCATCTTCAAATTAAGAGCTTGGCAATGTAAAACTCTTACACAACACACTAAGACAAATATAAACTTAACTTTCAAGTACCATCAATTTGTACAATAACTATATATTTCTTTTTAAATATTTTATTATAATTATCCTTTGTAGGTTTAGAAATATTTAACCGTTTTATTAAATCATGGTCTTAAGGGTTTGACTAGAGTTAATAACTATAAATGTTTTTCACATTAGTCACAAGTGACATTTTTTAGTACATAATTGATGAAAATCTCTCGTATGTAAGTCCAATCAATAATAAAGTTTAAGGGTTTGGTTTGCTCAAGAGATACCTTATAATTTTTTGATCAGTTGTAACACCTTATAGTTCATACAGCATTGTTTAATATTTTCATTATATGTTCATATGTTCATTTTCAAAGGAAGATATTTAGATCTTTCTAAAATTGTGGTAGCCTTAATGGTTCATTTGTTTCATTTATGAATTTGTCATTTTTTAAAGTTCAAAAGTAAAATCAATCACATTCTACTATATGGATTGTCACACTAAAAATTAAATATTTTCATAAAGCATCTGTAATCATTCATATCGCCATGTTTGAGCATGTAAACCTATAAATGACAGATCATTATTAATCATTGATTTCTACCATTTCCTACTCAAAATTTTCAAAATCCTCAAGAGTATAGCTACTGGCTGAAAAAAATTCACATTATCACATAAAATCAATTCTCTTTTAAAAATTTTATCCCTACAAACACTACTGCATTAGTTTAAGTTAACAGTTATGCTCATTCAGTAACATACCAAGTGTTCCAAAACAAATTTTACAAAATTGATAGCACAGGAATAAGCAACAATAACAATGCTTGAATTAACATCTATATTATCACATTGCCCTAGAAAGCAAATAGGATTACATTTTCAAATAAATACCTTAAGATTAATATTTACCTATGTGAAAAAAGTTTTTGCATTCAACATAATAAATCATCTTTTCCTGCTACCTACCTATCTGGATAAAAGATGGTTAAAGTAAACACCATTATTCTATAGAACAAAACAATTTGCCATAAAAATATAAAATTATACATATCAACCAACCAAGGGCACCCAGTCCTGCAGCACGACAATTCGCAAGAAGAAGTCCTTGTTCAGTTTCCATAAGGGCAAGTAAAACTTCAAAGGCTGAGATGGTTTGGTCACTGTAGGAGACAGCAAGTTGAAGAGCTGTATTGTTAGACTCATATTTCCCTAAAAGAACACTCATTCTATCACACTGACTTCGGCTTTCTTCTAGTGTGATAGTTAACAAATCATTCTGGGACTTCAAATGTTCAATCTTACTATTTAACCTCTCCAGCTCGACTTCAAACTCACGAACTTTGGACTCAGAAATTGCAGAACCTGAAGAGTATACAGACTGGAAAATCTCCTGTGTATGCGAGTCTTCTTGTAAATTTTGAACTAAATGTTCTGCTACTTTAGTTGTAGAAACCTAAAAAAAATATATCAGTCCTCTATACAAATCATAAAGCAACAATTTTGTTTTGGCTTTAATTTTTTATGATTTTTCAAAATTGCTTAAAAACAGTTAAATAAAAATATTTATTGAAATACAAATAAAATATATTCAACAAGCATTATTTCTCCTTATAAACACATCTATTAAATATGAAATATGGCTTATAAAGTAAAACTAACTTTATTTTTTAAAATCATTGTAACCTGGGTTTACGGCCAAAAATATTGTTAACCCAAATGATGAAACAAGGAATCATCATCTTTGCAAATAGTAGTGTAAGAGATACTTCATTGCTAGATTGATTTTTTTGGATTCAATTTGATAAACAAAAGGAGCTTATATTGATTTATTGTCATTTATAATTACTGATATATGAGACATTATTAGGTTTATGGCCAAAATTATCATTAACAGCAAGGCTAACCATCTGATGAAACAGTGCATTCTAAACTTTATAAGGAAGAACATACAAAAAAGTATTTTAGTTAGCTATATTCATTACCAAATTGATTTTTACTTTTGCTCTAAGTCACTAGCTTGCTCAGGTCAGAATTAATTACATCTTGGTACACAAGATGTCAGCTAAAAGATAAAAGGTATTTATATCATTTTTAATTGATAGAAGGTAACTTAATCTTGAATGATATTTTAGTTTTAAATTGTTTGCTTATTTTTCACCAAATGACTGTATTCACCGTTTGAGCCACTCAAAGTAAAAGTGGTGTTTAGTTTTAAGAATATGATGCTGACTTCAACACCATTTTTATGTTCTGTAAGGGAGTGCAAAGTAATGAAGATTCAGAATAGCTTAAGTTTTCTATGATCATATAAACCAGTATCCCAACATCTAGTACTTGAAAACTGCGTTTTTTTTTCAAAACTGTTGTTAAGTACTAAACAAACAGAGAGTTCTTGTTATTGAAATGCTTTAAAAGTCTACTTACACCAAATGTGGATATTTCTGAGCCAAGTATTTGCCTATCACCATATTCCATCTTTTTAAGCCTTACTCTTTCTGCCATTTTAGCAATGGGTGCCTCTTCTTTTGAAGTGGGAGTTCTCTCCCCTGTTGTAGGATTTATATGTGGAGTTTTGCTCAGGGTTGGAGAGCTACCAGTTTGAGAACCCTGAGACTGTAAGAAAGCTAGTTTTGCTTGCATGTCTCGAAGCTACAAAATATAATTTCATTTTTAGCATGCTCTTTCTCATCAACATGATATGAACAAAAGATATATAATCCTGAACACACCATTTAACTCTTGTATCATTTCTCCACTAAACTTTAGTTACTGTCAGTTTATCTTTCCTTGGTTTCAAGAAAATACCAATTAAATCTTTGCTTTAAAAGTTAAACATACTAAAAAGTCACTGCATTGGGTTCTTTTAAAAATATTCCTGATATTAAGCTTCAGTATATTACTTAACAGTAGCTAATGAGTAAAATATAAATAGATGAAATACATACAGTAATATATGTAACATAAGTAAAATACATATGTCTAGATAATGTGTTTTAATTAATCTTTCTAAATAAACATGATATGGCTTTCAATATACACATTTTCTTTATCAAAGGAAATTTTGCTAATACTGGTACCATTGTAAAATATTTTTTTCTTCAAAGCACTTTTTTTTTTCTGTTGTTTCAGTGAAACTTTGAACACAGTAGACATAGTAGGTTTGATAACTTTAATCAACTGCAACTACCTATTGAATGAAAAGGAAGACAATGTTTTGGATACAAGGTAATTTCAGTATAGAGGCTGAAACATCGTCCCCTTTTCATTTAACAGACAGTTGCAGTCTATCAAAATTCTGAAACTTATATTCATTTCAACCAAAAGAAATATTTAAGTTTTCATTCATTAACTATACTGTTTATTAGAAAAAAAAATGAGTTTCAAAAACTTTAATGCACTACACCCGATTGCATCTTAATTAAACTGTAATCTTTTCCAAACAAGCATTCTACCAGTTCTACCTCGGTACAAACAAGATTCTAAAGTAAAACAAAAACATGTAGCAATGTATTTAAATTATTAAATTTGATAAATAAGTGCACATTTAATATAAAATGCAATAGTGAATGCTTCAATGTAAAAGATGAACAACAAACTTATGTTTTCACAAATTTAAATAAATTTGTTAACATAATAAAAATTGGAATTAAATTTTATCTACTCTTAAAGTACTAAGAAGATATAAAAATTAACTTTTCACCATAGAATATTTCATAGTTACTACTGAGATATCACTATTTACTTTGGACAAGAAACTTTTTTTAGTTGATAAACTAACAGTAACTTCCACCCAAGTTAATCTCATAAAAAAAGATAAAACTTTTTTTCTTCTTCCAATTCCATGGTAACATTTTAACCACATAAAACTTATTAAACTTTATACAGAATAAAAATGTCATTCCTTCAATATTAACAGTAAAACAAAACTTCTCAGCATGTTTATAATAATAACTAGCAGAGATCCGCAAAACATTTCTGGCCAAATTAGTATCTTTATTGTAACAGTACTTCTTTAAATATAACATTTCTA